CTAGGTGCGTTCTACATGGTCTCCCTGAAAACAAGACCAAGTTGCGACAACGAGGTCAACCCACTTCCAAAGGCTTGTAAGTTTACATCAACCTGAACATCGTAATAATATCGGATGTATTCACCATATTTCGTTTAAGGTGATGAAGGACTGGTAGTAGAATTTTCCAACAATGATATGAGTAGAGCTGACGTTGTATTAATGTCAAATGGCCGCAGTACAACGCGAATCAGCCGACGTCTTCTGGTGAGATTGACCTAGAATCTCTTTGTAATGTACTTCCATATTAAATAAAAATCTTTACATCAATCTTATCTTAGGAGATTTTTCGAAACCCGCATTTTATTCGTATATACAAGATCGCTCAAATAAATCCAAGCGACAGTTGGTCAACCTCTGGTTGGATTGATCCTCGAATCTCTTCACCAACCGCTTTAACTCGAAATGGAAGTTAGCCCAACAATTATAAAATTAAAAGCTTCCTCGAAACCTACTTTTCTTTTCATACGTGTGAAACAAGTGGCTTCATACGTCCTGCTCCTGTGAATACGCTTTCTTCGCTGCTCATTCTTCTACGCGACTGCCCTCGTGCACCTGACTTGACACCGCTTCAAGGCACTCTTGTGTGTAGTCTTTGCCGTGTCGTGTTGAGGCAGACACATGTATGAAAATAGGTCTGGACTTTGGCTAGCCTGGCGTAAAGTGTAGACGTCTAGGGCGAGGGTTGTTGTGAAGTAGTCGAGACTAATGATGTCGTTCACTTTCTTCGTTCGGTGTCTACAGGTGAGTGACTTGATTTGTCGCTTTACTCCTCACACAACTGTCAACTTACTGAAGTACTCGGCGATGCTTGAGAGGGCTGCTGATGGGCGAAGCCTTCAGCTCGTCCGTCACTGCACCACCGCAGCAAGCGTGTCTCGACATGCGGCTATGGGTTTGACAAATGTTTTTTTTCTTTAAGTACACGAGTAAGCCTTAGTCTTGAATAAGGGTTCTAGTCAACCTAGGCCGCAGAAGGTGATTAAGAAGTGATATCAGAACTTTCGTAAGATCATATAAGTAGATCATACATATTTTTCGAGAGTGAGATAGCCTTCTTTTCCAAAATGGTAATAAATTATCAAGATTTCTTATAAGTGGAGTTCTAATTTTCATGAAATTTCACATATCCTTGCTCTCAAAAATTAAGTTGTACTTTTACTCAAAAATATGAATGGCCATTCTTTATCGGATTTAACATATATTTGCCTACCATAACGTTGATGAATTTTATCGCATGCTTGTGAGCAACCATCAAGTTTGCAATTAATTTACCATAGAATTGCTTCTCGTAATGCTGATGATTTTTTTCGTTTGTAAGTATGGTTTTGAGACTAGCAGTAAATCATCTATATGAGGTGTGTTCACCTTATTTCATTTAAGATGATTAAGGTATGTATGTAGAATTTTCCCACAATTTTGTAAATAGAGCTTACATAATGGAGATCTAAGATTTACTCACACCATTGTACAAAAATTCAATTACCAATCCTTAATCACCTCAAACTAAATGGAGTGAACACATCTCATGTCTGATACATTTTTCTACATAGAACTAAGTAGGTCTCTTGTTTCCATGGCATTCCACCTATCCTTACTCCCCAAAAAATGATGATTTCTTTTTATACAGGTATATAGGTGGACCTTTCTTTTTTATTGAGGTTAACATATCTTTGCTTCCCAAAACGCGGATGAATTGTTCTACCTTCTTATGAGCAGCCGCCAACTTTGCATTGCAATTGCCATAGAATAGTTTCTCGTAATGCTGATGAATTTTTCCACAAGAATCTAAGTGGACCTCTTTTTTCCATCAAGTTTCGAATAGCTTTGCTTCCCAAAATGATGTTACATTTTTGTCTGTTCAATTAGTAGCTCTCCGTCATTAATCTGGTCTCACATTTCCTTGCTTCACAAAATTATTTTGAATCTTCTTATAACGATCTGTTTTAATCTACATCACATAGCTTTGTTTCCAAAAATAAGTGTAACTTTTCCCACATTGATATCGGAAGAGCTAAAACCTTGCTTCTCAACAGTTATTCTTATTCAGGCAATACTGGGAAGCTGCTTATACATCTCACCCCTAGCGTAAATCGAACTCGGGTTTCGGTGGAGCAGAGTATAATTTAAACATGTCAGAACTATGCTAATCTTTAATGAATGCTAGATGGCCACCAGGCAACAGTGAATTTCAAAACAAGTTAGACCACTAGCGTACCTTTCATTTCGTTTGGAAAGGCGAGTGGAAGGAATATGAGGCTTATCCACCCTATTATGTTTAAGCTGATGAAGGTCTGTTAGTTGAAATTTCCCACGACCATATGAGTATAGCTGATGATTCCATTGAATTTCACATAGCCTTGCTTTCCCAAAAGGTGTTCTCATCCAGGGTGGACTAAGGTTTCGATCTCACTTAGGTCTTATCAACAGCCCTAGCCTTGGAAGTCTAATTATCAACTGATAAAGAAGTCAAATGAAGTTTATTCATTGACAGAATTCCTGCTAAACAGTTAAGGTATTTTTCATTCTGTCATGGCTCATTCACCTATCCTTTGTCCTCGTATCGTCCCCTTCACCAGCACAGATTCTAATATGTTTATTCTAGCCTACTCCAGAGATGTGCTCTTTTTTAAGATGATTTTATGTGGCTTATTTACCCTCGCTGGTTACCTCATCAGCCAAGACCTCTTAAAATTGCATGTTCGAAATTGTTCAAGTAAAATAGGGTATAATTTGGTTGAGTGATGGGTGATTGCGTTGGGATGGAAGGAGAGGTACTAAAACTGTTCTGGAGAAATGGTTTGACTTCTATTTCTCAACCAACTCGGTATTCATATCTTCGATTGTTCAGTAGAACTTTGGTCAAGGAAAATACCTTACTTGTCTTTTGGAAAAATTGTTGCTTTGTGGTGCGAATGGTCAGACTCACTAACCATGCTGACCATGATGCTGACGAAACGCCTGATAATGTATCAACCCCACTGTCGGATGCTGATAATGACCATAACTACCTCAACAAAGAACTTTGGACAAACTGTGTCCAACTTGGTCGCACTGACAAAACGATCAAGTTGCAAAAACGAGGTCAGACCATGTCTATCTCATCTTTACTTGTCTTGCCATGCACCCAAGTTACAAAATGGTCATGCATATATTAAAAACAAATTAAAGGTTGTGCTGGAATTCAGAAGTCATCGATCAGTAGGAGTATGAAACAATTATTCCCGGAAAGTGTTTAACTTTCAAGCCCAATAGATTATAACACTGAGACCAAAATTGAGGCCAACTGAGTTGAAGCTAAGCTCCCCTAAGTTGAGTGCTCATTTCCTCTTAAACAAATAGGTCCTGGCCAAGAATCAGACCTTGCTAAAGCAAAGTAAATACTTTTTAATGCGAATGTTATCCTAATTCCAAATAACCATAGACGCTTAACAGATTGTCTTTTCTCTGCATCGACGGTCTCGAGAATTGATATCCTAACGCTGCAGTGCTACTATTTTTGCAACCCCCACCTTCCTACGTCTTTCTGTCCAGAACCATTATTGCATAAAATGGACGATGCAGACCTTTTTCGCGAGGCTGGACAATCTATGGTGGACCTGCTGATCGCCTATACCGAAGAACTTCGCTCTAAACGTATGTCCGTGCTTCCTGCTGCCGAGGTGAGGCCGGGTCACCTCCTCGCCCAACTGCCCGAAGAACCACCCGAGACAGCGGAAGATTTCTCAAGCATTACCCACGACATCTGGAACAAAATATTTCCAACTGTGAGTCTTTTGACAGGACGGGCCAAACTCCCTAATTCTTTCACAACTAGTACCACCCATCTGGTGGCAGGTTGTTTTATTAGTTGTGGCTTTGCTCTGAACGTTGTATCGCTTTGGTTCTGATGAGCCTGAAAGTCGATTCGTTGGTCACGTTGGAACCTGAGCTTCTGACTGCTGCCGATGAGATTTCTAGTCAGGATGTAGCGCAGTTCAGTTACGTGATCAAGCGTCCTATTCATCATCTCTGCAGTTCAACAGCCAATCCTCGAAAAGCCAAAACAACCTTAACAAATCATTGTCCAGCTGTGAATTCTGGTTGTGCTCCCGAACTCTATAAATCCTCTCAATGTCCTGCTGCTTTAGTCAATGACAGAATTCATTCTCCAAGCTGTCCATGTATACATTTACCAAAAGAGGTGAGAGTGGAGATCCCATCGGTAGTCCAAATATTTGCCCATAGATATTGCCCTTGAATGTAAAATATGTAATACTTACTGTCAAGCTAATTGGTCGTGTTGACCACTCCTTTTGTATCCGCTATGCTTCCAGGATATCTTCCTATCGTTCCAAGACCTCCAGCAGGGCAGTGACCACTTTCTCGCATGAGATGTTGATGTATATGAAGTGTACGTTATAACCTACCAACAGTTCCGTCCCTGTCAGTCCTGTGTTTTGGATCCTTTTAGAAAG